TTGTGTGCCAGCCCACTGCTTGCATGGTTCAGTTCCCCTGTTGGTCTCCCATCTGGGGTGCCATGCCGCAAAGGTTTGGGATGATTAACTTTAATAGGCTTAATAGTTAGCATCTTAGCTGAGACACCAGGAACCACCTTTAGTTGGGGGGAAAAAGTAGATTCAATCATAATAACAGCAACAGTAAACAAGAGTGAATTTTCCAGTGAATGGAAGTAAATTACTTTAAAATTCAACCAAGGCTATTTGAATGCAGACATTTAATCCAATTAAGCTGCATTGCAGCTTTGTATTTTAATTCATGCATAGGCTGTGATTTTTTGCATGATTGAAGTTTAACACTAACTCCACCATCCATTACACATAAGAACTGCTAGGAAAACAAATTGTTTACTATGATAAATATATTTTCCAAATCCAAATCTGGGAGCCTACAGGCATCAGCAGGCAGTTCCAGCAAAGAGTTCCAGCTTACCAAAAGCACTATCACCTTTTTCATTTATTAAAACAGCAATTTACCATTACAAAATAGTTGGCTTAGGCTTGGTATATCTCACTCTCTGTGTTTTTTATAGCATGAATTGCCTTGATGCAATTTTATTAATTATTAAAACTATTTAATAATTTAATAATTGTACAATGATTATATTTTTATTTTTTATAATTTATTTAATATATACTCTTGCTTTCCATCAAAACAGGTGATTAATAATGCCTACTAATAATAAAAGCAAAAAACTATTTATGCTCTTAATTTAAACTATGAAATTATTTCAACCTCAATTAACCAAAATAGAGAAAGTCAACATCTACCCTAATAGCTTCACAATTATTTAGTGAATCACTGCAGTTGTTAATTTAGTAACACAGTTCTTAAGGGAATCTGGCTTTCCCATTGACTTTGCTTGCCAGAAGGACGTAAAAGGTGATCCCATGACTCTGAGGTACTGCAACCGTCACAGAAATGAGTCAGCTGACAAGCCGCTGAATTTTATTCATGTGACTGTCGGAATGCTGCTTTGGTCATAAATGTGAAAAATGGTCATTAAGTCACTTTTTTCAATGCCATTGTAACTTTGAAGGTTCACTAAATGAAGTGTTGTAAGACACTTGGCACAGCACAGGACTATCTGTATTACTGCCTTCAGATTTAGATCCAATCCAACTCTTAATTGTTTTTTTATATCACCCCAACTCCTTCCCTTAGAATTTCAGTGTAACTTTACATGGGAAATTTTCTTCATTTTATTTCAAGCCTGTGAGGTATCTTAGGCTGAAGGGAAGTGACTGGTTTAAAGTCACTGAATCAATGTCGGTATGGCTGAGTGTGGACTTAAACATTGATCTAGCCACTACTTTCTGTTGGCGAGCTCCCACTAGTGGCTCTAAATCAAATTTTACATTGTGCCTAGAAAACTACCTCCAACTTTTTCTGTGCATTGTAGTATATATCTCATATGTGTGAATTATACTCAAGGAACATGACTTTTAACTGCAAAGCTCTTTTACAGAATCAGCAAATATTTCAATTGTGACGGGAGTTGGATGGCATTACAGTATGTCTCTCTCACACAGAGAGAAGGGAGGGAGGGAAAGGGAGAGAGGAAGAGAGTGTGTTTTACAGGTGGGCCAGAATAGCACATTGTATTCTCTGGTGAAACTCCATAATGTAGTTTGAAGTTGTCTTTTAAAATATTTTCCTAGACTTTATTTAAATCAGGAGTTCTGATTCAAAAGTAATTAACAAATTGGTTATAGCAAGTTAAAAGTCATTCAACTTTAGGAAAGAAAAATGCTGGAATTGTTTCCCCTCACTGCCTCCAGTCTCCAAGAATCCAAACTCTTACACCTTTCACTCTCTTATAATCTTCATTTACCAATACGTACCACGCTGCTGATTTTATTCCAGTGTTTTCTGCCTCATAAAAATCTATACAGAAATTACAATGGATGAAAGTAAGTTGAACTGCAAAATCAGAATAGATTTTGCACAAAATCCCATTAGCAGGAACAACAGCTTCTGTAGTCTTTTATAATATTTTTGTTTCTCCTTTCTAAGGAAAAATCTGCATAAAAGTGTGTTAGTATGATTAGATCCACAAGGGGGAGTTGTTGTACAGGTTTATTATTTAAGGAACAGCAAGAAGGATACAGCATTTCACTTGATTTAATTTAATTTAAATGAGCAAACATAATTAGTTAACACGAACACACAAACATACAGAGTTATAGAGGTAGTCCTTGACTTGTGACTATTTCCCTAATGAGCATTTGAAGATATAAGTCTTTTTAAAAAAGTAACTTATAACCTGTTACAACTGATCATCATCCCTGCAGTCATGTGGTTTCATTTTGTATGCTTGGCAATTCATTACCATTTGCAATTGGTTGTAGTCCTACAATAATATGAGGCCATTTAGCAAAATTTGTTGCCATTTTCTGGCAAAAAATACCCATTGGATATGCTGGATTCAGGTTTACAATGTGATTAACAATCACATATTTTGCTTAACGACCATGTCATTATTATAAAAATTCTGGGCTCAGCTCTGATCATAAGTCGAGGATTTCCTGTAATGTTAGAAAGGGTCATTCCAGCCTAGGGGTGTCAAACTCAATTTAATTGAGGTCTGCATCAGCATTATGGTTGCCCTCAAAAGGCCAGTTGCATGTAAGACTATGAGGTGGGTATGGCTGGGTGGGCGTGGCCAGCTCATGAGTTCCTGTGGCACTGGGACCCACAGTCCAGCCCAGCTGTGCTTCCCCGAGGAGGTGCCTGGCCATGCTTACCTCCTCCTCGAGGCTGCTCTGTCAGTGCTGCTGTGGGTGATGTGAGGCAAGGCTGGGCAAGGAGAGGTGGGGCCAAGATGGCGGGGGCCGACCCCCTCGCCATTTCAAGGGAAGCTCTGCAGGCCAGATGTAGCCACATCACAGGCCGGATCCAGCCCTTGAGTTTGATACTACTGTTCCAGCCATTAAGCCCAATTTCTTAATCAATTTCTTTTGCTAAGTTTTGGAGACTGGCAATGATTTGGAGCTTTTACAAGGACTTTGGCCACTGTTTGCTTGTTTTAAAGTGGTAATTGATATTTCATACACTTAAAATTAATTTAAAACTTGTTTTTATTAGATTTTTGTATAAACTGTTAAAAGTTCCAACTTAGAGTTACAATTTTCAATACTATTTTTTCTTGTATAATTTGTAGACTAAGGTCCATTGGCACCCTAGGTATAGAAGTTAAGACACACTCTCAGTGTCTAAGCTGAGAAACTTCTAATTCTTCCTTCCACTCATCTCTTACCATCTGCATGTCAAGTTGACTCATTGAAATTAACATAGGTAGCCCTTAGCACATGATCACAATTGAACCCAAAATTCTGTTGCTAAGTGAAACATTTGTTAAAATGGAGTTTTCATTTCCATTTTACAATCTTTCCTAGCATAGTTGTTAAGAGAATCACTGCAGTTTTAAGTTAGTTACATAGCTGTTAAGGGAATCTGGATTTTCCATTGATTTTGCTTGTCAGAAGATTATAAAAAGTAATTACATGACCCTGAGACACTGCAACCATCTTAAATATGAGTCAGTTGCCAAGTGATGGAATTTTGATCAGGTAACCATGGGGATACCACAATGATCCTAAGTGTGAAACATGGTCAAAAGTAACTTTTTTGAGTGCTGTTGTAACTTTGAACAGTCATCAAAGGAACTGTTGTAACTCAAGAACTACCTGTAAGAGGTTTTTTTTTTTTTTACTTTTAAAAGATTTAACCAACTGTTTTGTATCTTAGATGTCTGAGAAGCTGAAAATATTACTGGTTTAAACAATGTTGTTAATAGAGGTGTCTAGCTGTCATTATTGCCATTAGATTACATCTGGTAGATGATCATTGTCTCTTAACGCGTATATTGTCTCTTATCATCATCATCATCATCTATCAATTGATCCAAAGTCAATATCTGAGAATTCATCCAATTTTTCCATATCACCATCGTTTTTCCAATTTTTAATGTTGGATTTCCCCATAATATCAATATGGCATGGGAAAAAGAATCAAGATTATTTAAGATATTATATTGCATAGCTTTCTAATTGACACACTTGTTTCCAGAAATACTGTATTTAGATCCTGTCTCTTTAGAATACTGTCTATTAAACAAACGGTGCTCTCCATGTGCATACCAAAGTTGCACTTGCCTGAAAATTAACATCAAATATTAGCTCCCAGCACTTATTACTTGACAATAGGTAAGTTTGAAGACAAATCTCCTATATCAGAAAACCAAATCTTCCCTCATTAATTGGTGGTTGCATTTTCTATAAAAAGTATTATCAGAATCAAAGAACCACATACAACATTTCTAAACTAAGATTTTATGTTATGAAAATATTTTCCAGATGTTTGAATTTGAATGGGATTTTTTCTTGGAGTATAAATTAATTTGGGAATAATTTTCTGGACCTTTTAGTCAAGATCAAGCTAGTAACCTATTGCTTTCTTTTTTTTAAATAAAATTTTATATTGATCTCTATTTCATTTGTTATTATCTACTCAATTTTCTAACTTTCAAGATTGTTTTAATGTTATCTCTGTCTTTTAAGGTTTTTGCTATTTCCTCCAGTTCTGTGTCAATTCTATTTACTCTGTGCTCCCAGTTATTTATTAAAAAATGACATGGATGACCTTATTTCATTCTGTACCTTCAAAATAGGTAAGTTAATGGTTATTTGAAGATACACAAAAGACCCAGGCTAAGCCAAGGTGAGCCCAATCTAATGACCTAGTGTAGGAGTGTGTGTGTGTGTGTGTGTGTGTGAGAGAGAGAGAGAGAGAGAGAGAGTGAGAGAGTGTAAACTCCTCCAACAAAATTGGGAAAAAATATTTTATTTTAAGGCAGATTTATCTTTGATTGCATCGCACCTGCTAGACCACAAACCTCAATGAAGCAATCCTACAGCTGGCCTAATGTCTTTAATGGCTGTGAAAAACAACATACCTTTTCATCTCTCATGTCTTTCTCTTCCTCTAACAGCGCTGTTAAATATTCAATTTTATCTGCTTGCTCATCAATGATTCTCCTTAACTTATCTATTTTTGCAGCTGATAAATCCACTTTACATTGTTCATCAACTTGTGCATATTTCTGTCAAAACAAAAGAAAGAATAATAAGAGATCCTATTATAGTTAGTTGCCCAGTTACAACAACATGAGCAGCTTCAGGAGGCATATGGTTTATGAATGTGTTTTAACCATTCTTTTTGGTCTGAATCAAAAGAATAAGAGCTTTTGTGTTTATTTTAATTATGAGGTGGCCAAGGAAGATGGGGAAAGGTCTGATATTTTATGATACAGCAGTTTGTGTCCCACCAACCCTCCAAATTTAATTAACTCACAAGATAAAACATCTTGAAGAAATTATTTCCCTGGGAGTGGGGAGATGTTCAGGTTAGGAAACAGTGGCAATCACCGCAGAAGAGGATAAATATTTACTAATTTAATAAATTTATCTAGTGCCCATCTAACCAAACACGACTCTGGACTACTAACAATTAAAAGAATGCTTCAGCAGTTAAAATAAACCCCTATAAAATATAAATTAAAGCAATAAAGCAGGAGGGGAACATCCATCTAATTCAATATGACCGTCCTGTGGAATCCCCCATGGGACCCAAAGATGCTGGAAAAGCCACATTTTCAGGGCCTCCCAAAAGACTAACAGGGATAGAACTAACTCCCCCTCCTGAGGTGGCATGATGTTTTATAGGGCAGAAGCCACAGCAGAAAAAAACATACTGCCCGGGTCCCATCAGATAGAACTCTTTAGCAAACAGGACATGCAACACACCCATCCTTCTGGCTTTGATGGGATAGGCGGATAGTGTTCCCTCATATAGCCTGACCCCATGCCATGTAGCCCTTCAAAAGTCAGCACCTTGAATTGCACCTGGAAGCAAACCAACAGCCAATGCAGTTCATGGAATGGAATATAATGATTGCCATCCTAGGGGCACACGTAACTAACATAAAGGGGAGGAAATACAATGGCTGTACTTCCAGCTTACAACAGTTAAACCCTAAACCACCCCCTATTAAACAGCTAAATTTGGGATAAATAGGATGGGGCCTTAAATCCATGTAGTCCAGCATTGAATGTCACAGTGGCCTGCTGGATGAGTCAGTGAAACTGTCAAATTAGAGTATGATAGCACCTTTCACTTTTAGCAGTCAGCATGTAAGGCTTGCAGCTTACAATTCAAATGTAATGAACAACTACCCATATTTATAGCCACTGACAGTATTAGCTTCCATAAACTAATACAATCCTCTTCGAAACCAGAGTTTCTGTCATTACCATGCATATTTCTTTTGAATGTATTTCAGTAGATGGAATGGCAATATTTAGATGGGATTCGGGAAGCCAATGTATTCCAGTGGTCCTGTTACTCTTATGTAAAAATTGCTTTAAATAATGATTGGGCAATCACAACATCTACATAAGAGAACCTCACATGTTTCCACATTGCTCCTTTAGACTTTCAGATTGTTTCACTTACGTGTTGTTTTATGAATTCAGGTTCTTGATCAGAAAGTTAAAACATTGAGAGAATTTGCTTCAAATACCAAATTTAATCTAGTAAATATAAGTAAGCTATCTCCCTCTACTATTTTTTGTATTTAAATTTTACATGGCCTGACTCCAAGTGACTCTGGCCAATTCACAAACACAGAAAAATAGCAATAAAAGAATAGTGCAATAAAGGCACAGAATGAAAAAGATGGTAAAACCAGGTAATAATGAAAAACATATGATTTAGAAAAATTTCCAACCACTTTAATAAAAATCAGAGCAAAAAACATACAATATATTGTATTAGATGCCTCAAGTAAACATAATCAAAAACTCACCGAATAGTTCATTTTAAGAATAGCAAGTGCATCACTTAATTGTTGTTGGTAGCTATAACGTGTTTTCATTTCTTTCTGTAATTAAAAAAGAAAGAATTCATATTTGCATAAAGTATTAAATTAAATTAAATAAATAATCCCCA